GATTCCAAGATCTCTGTACACTGAACCTTCTTGATACAGGAGACAGAGCTGTGACATCAGAGAAATGACAGAGAAGTGGCAGTAGCAGACCCAAGAGCCAGAACATAAGACAGAGTGGTAAGCTTCTCAGACCGTGGAGCAAGTAAAACTGAATAACTCTTAAAGAGTTGGGTGCCTCCTGGCACTTAATAGCCAGAGAGGGATAGATTTGTTTATCCACAAAGCTAGAGCTGAGAGTTTGTGGTGGATTAGTGTGCCCTTTGAGCATTTATTGGCAGTGCTAAAGTTTCATAACTTTGCCTGAGTAGTGCAGGGCCCAGGCCAAGGGGGCTGTGGGTGAGAGAGGCCTGCCTGCAGGAATGGCTGGAAACAGGGTGTCCTTACCAAAGAAATATCCTGAATATTTCTGATACTGATTATATAACCTGTTAACTCTTCTAATGAGCCGCATAATCATGAGCATTGTCTTAGTTCTGTGTGGTCATTACACTGAATTATCGAATCTAGCAGAGAAGTAGAGCATGCCCTTGGAGGGATGTCTGGTGTCAGAACTGGTAAATAAGGTTGGAGGGTGGAGACATGTCTGACCTGTCTACCTCATAGGAATTAATCTTGTGCTGATGGTGAATCTCTTCCTTCTTCTTTGTGAAGTCAGAGGACATCAAACACTGCCTCCATGACCCCCCCCCCCTTTTTTTTTTAGTGGTTACTTTCTAACACGTTACATAATGTATTACCATATCCACTAGATTGTTTTGTACTATGAGGTTTGGGTTTTTGTTTCTGTTTCATTCATTGATTTATTTCAAGCATCCAGAAAAGTACCTGACATATAGTAAGCATTTGGTTAAATATCTATTGAGTGATGAATTGGTGGATACTTTGGTCTGATGATCATAAAGTTCAACACCTAAATTCTTTAGCAAAATATTATCTGTTAGTTGATCTATCTTTGAGGGTAGTATTATTGTTCCATTACTGTTATTTTAAGTGTTACAGTCTAATAATAAGTTGCACTGAATGGACTCTTTATATTCTTCAAAGTGTTTCCCTGTTCATTTTATCACAGTATTCTAATTTAATATATTCGAGCCCACAGTCATCTGGTTATTTAATCTTTCAAATGGTGTAAAAACAATTTATTTCTGTTCCTTCACATACTTAATCCTCTTAGTTTGAGCTATAAACTGACCTACCTCATTCCCACTTAAGTACCATAGCAGTTTGTATTTATATATACCAGCTAACTGAATGCCTTACATTAGCAGGAATCTATAAATAACTGTTGATTTAATTTACTGTAACACTTTAGCATGTTTTTCTCTATCCTGTCACATTTTACCGAGCATTTTTAAGGAGAAAAATTTAAATCTGACTACTTATTTTCTTTTAGCCCAGAGCATTATATTGGAAGGCTTTGGGGGTGTGTGGGTGAGATGAGGTATAAGTCACCACTGTTTTACTTGTACAGTTCACTGACCTTGACTATGTTAATCATGTTGTGTAACTATTTACCCATATCCGGTGCCAAACTTTCTATTACCATTGATGAATACTCAGTGCTGCCTGAACACTGACTTCCCATTCTTTCCCTCCCTCCTCCCACTCTTAACCATTGCTGTACTTTGGTAGAAATGCAAATTTTGAAGATCCATCAGAAATTCACACATTTTTATAGAAATTTTTTTCTTTAAATTACTATAGACTTTATGAAAAAGATCTAATTTTTTGTCCTCAAGACTTTAATTTTATTAGATTGGTCAGTTTATGTCCAAGAAGAGTCTTAAATGAAATAAAATTTTGATCTATGATAATTTTTCCTCCAGGCTAAAGAAGGAATTAAGGTGTGTAGATTTGTTTATTATGTGTCTCCAATGCCTCAGTTGCTTTGGTTCAGTAATTGACTAGTATATTAACAGCATGACATATAGCACTCCATCTTGCTTCTTCCTTAGCTTGGCAAAGAATGATTTCCTCCCTCAACCACAAAGTCCTTGGTCCATTGCTTGTCCTACAGTTGATTTGGTGAGTTTGAACCACCAACCTTATGGTTAGCAGTCCTATGTTCGTTCATCCTACAGTGCCACACCAGCACTCCCTGAAGTCCATTTATTGCCACCCTCAGAGTTTAGATGCATGGGAATTTAATGTTTTTATTACATACAAGGGAATTTCAAAAGTTCATGTAAAAATGGAATTGAAAGATTATGGAATTTTTCCATGAACTTTTTGGCACCTCCTCATCTATGTGTAGACTGTTAAGTTATAATGAAATTAGTAGTGTTGTTAAGTGCCATTGAATCAGTTCTGACTCATAGTGACCCTGTATATGGCGTCTGAAGAGCAGCTGATGAGTTTGAACTGCCAGCCTTTCAGTTCAAACCAACCTTGAGGCCAAGTGCTTATCCTATGGCACCACACTTATAGTGCCCTTAATGGGAACTATTGTTTTTTGATGTTTTAGATTCAATGCCAAAAATGCACCAGTTGGTGAAGAACTAAAGAACTATAAAAATTATACAATTGATCTTTTAGGAGAAAGGTCCATTTTTACTAATCTGCTGACCATGATACTCATATGTGTTCTCTGAATCTGGTCAGAATATATTCTTTACTTTTTTTTTGGAATGAGGCTCACCCCCAAGACTATTCTTTATGTTATATTACAGATTCAAAATATTCCTTTAATAATAAAATCAATTTAATTAGATTTTTAAAATAAAATTTCAATGAATGTTCATTTTCAATTAATAATATACTGAAATTCATTTAAAAGAATAGATAATTTCTTTGTATTGATTTAGTTTCAATTAAGGTGGTTACTTGAGGGTAAAAATGCTTTAAAAAACCTAAATGATATCAATATCACTAGAATAGCAGTGAGCAATTTTGCTACTTTAAAACATTTATCTTGTATCCTGCCATGCTACTTTATTATGTCTTAAGGTTTAAAAACATCAGATTCTTCTTGAAGTTGTTGATGATTTAGGTGGAACAATATCACTTATGTAGAGACTTAAGTATAATCTTATTTAAATCAGTTTTATCTGTTTACATGTTAAAATTATGGAATCCATTCTATGGATTTATTTATATTAATTTTTATAGGATTTCCAAGTGTGTTGTTTATGTTTTAGCATGATCTTTAGAATTTTAATTCTAGAGTCTTAATTTTTACTTTTGTCAAAAACCAAATATTAAGGTTTATTTGAAAAGCAGCAATCTTAATGTCTTAAATTTCCTAAAAAATATATTTGTAATCTAAGTTTATATTACAGCTTTCATTGTTATAGCAGAGCTACTTGTTAATACTTGTAATCTCAAACTAATTCTGATGCTGATGTTGAAAACAAAAACTTTTAAGTCTTTCAATTACCTAAAAATACATGTTTCTGAAATGAGAAGGGTAACCGTTAATCAAGGGATGTTACAGAACAGAATAGAGCCATTGCTTTTAAATCAGAGATAATGTCTTTTAGTTCAACATTATTTCTACGTAGTAGTAGCTAAAATTGCCCTTATCTCTTTTACTTCCTATGAAATGCTCCAAAGTTGTTAGTGTGGGCTGACCATGAACCAGTTCCATTTAGGATTAAAAGCTGTTATTTAATCAGAAGTAGAAATAGGAGTTTAGGGAACTGCTCTCTTCATCATTCTTCTTTATTAATTCCACTTTTCAGTTTATAGCTGTATCTGTATTTGTATGCATGTATTATAATTAAGTGTTCATATGCAGTGAAATCAATCTTTTATTTTAAGAACAAACACTTTTATTCAGTGTGCAAGTTGACAAGTGTGTGGTTGTCACTGACAGAACTGTTTGCAAAGTCAATGATAACATAAGGCACTTTACCAAGTGATTAATTCATATTGGCTTAAATCACTAGTTTAGTTATACAAAGTAGTTACTCATGCTAAAAAATGCATAATCAGTAAATAGTTTTTGAATTTATCTCTCCTAAGACTTGAACTGTTCCACTCAAATGAAAATAAATGGATTATTTCCAATAAACACAAAATTGAAAACCTTGTAGTCTTAATCTTTTAAAACAAATTAAGTCCTTTAAAAGAACGTCTTAGTTTGTTCTATTTGTCAGTAATGTACTACTTCAAATTAATCATTTTGCTTTCACCTTATTTTTTCCAGAATGATACTTAGTCCATCAAATTAGATCCCTTTAGCTTGATTTATAATGCTGTGTTGGAAATGTGTGTAAGCCAGACTTTGTATGCATTTTATGCCATTTTATTTTTAAAGTAGCCATTTGTTTTATGTAGCAAAGAGGTTAACATTATGTTACTAGCTTTGAGGCATCAGAACATATGGTATAAATCCATAGATGAGCAGAAACAATACCTCAATAATATAAAAATTAACCAAGTGCTAGTTATTAGTAAAACAAGTATTATAATAGACATAAAATCATCACCTAACACTCTTTTTTGAAACATAGTATTCACATCTCAAAATCCTGATATACTGTTTGTTTGGAGTGGGGTAAGGATGGTGCAGGTACTCTTCAGAGTGTCTGCATTTGGAAAAAAAAAAAATCCAATTGTTTTCGATAGCTTTCCCAGTACAATCTTTATTGGCCCTTTTCTGACCAGGGGATGTATAATGCTCACCTATACTTTCCACTTCTGGGGTTTAGTGTAAAGCTAATATCCCACTATTAAGGAGTGGAATCTTGTATAACTGTGTGAAATATTTTTGTTAATCTCTTACTGTGTCTAATTCATAATGTAGGCTTTCTCATAAATGTATATGTACAGTATAAAACATAGCATATAGGTTTTGGTACTGTCCACGATTTCAGACACCCACTAGGTGTCTTGGAATTTATGTCTTGAGGATAAGGGGAGGACTACTGTATTATACACACATAAGTATGTGTCATTTGTACTTATATGAGTTTGGTATTAATATTGTTTATATAAGTCACAGTGTAATTTTGTGAAGGAAGTGAAAAATTAACATGTTTGACTTTTTTCAATTTCAGTTCATTGATGGTCGCCTGGCAAAGCTAAATTCAGGAAAGGGTTTCTCGGATGCATTTGAAGAAGAGATTACTTCAGGTGGCTTTTGTGGAGGTAAAGATTATTTACCACATAATTATTTTCTTAATAATATTTGGAACTTTTCTGTGATTTAATATACTTAGTAAACAACTAATTATTTCCTCCTAAATATATAATGACATTAGATACATTTTCATCTCAGAGCTATGGTGTTTATTTTATCTGATATGTTATCCCAGGCATTATGATGGATTGTCAGGGTTTTGTTTTTTGTTTTCTAATAATAATCTCTTAATATTAATAACACAGGTATTCTCTGTTTTTTTCTCTTGACAAGTGTTTCTTGCTAAATTGCTGTTGAGTCTATTACAACTCATAGTAAACTAGTATAGGGTTTCCGAAGAGTGACTGGTGAGTTTGAAATGCCAACTTTGTGGTTTAAATGAACCTTGCAGTCCTATGCTTATCCTACAGTGCAACACCAGAAGTTCAGAAAACTAGTGCTTAAGGCCATTACTAAGTATGCACTTGAGAACTGAGGTTATGTTTGAAATAACAGATTATAATACAGTCCCTAAAGGAAGATTGGAATAACACTACTACTTCTTCATTTTGGAATGACTATAATAGCCTCTGGAAATCTTTACCTCTTTTGCTTTGCAGCTTCAGGAAAGACTTCATCTTTCCATTCCACTTTGACAAGAGCTTACTTACAGCATTGGGTAGAGCCATGTGTGTGAGAAACATCAGTTGATATCTCACTTTTATTCAATATAATTAATTCATTTAAAATGTAAATCTCCAGACAGTGGTATAAATGTCATAAAGGTGAATTCTGTAATTATGTAGGCAACTAATGACCTAAGAACTAATACTTTGCACCTGAGTATTTAATATATTGTTAATAGTTCCGTCTGACAGAGGCTTATGCTGGAGCCCTGGAAATGTGCTATTCCTTTATTCTGCCAGTATGTGCTAAGTACTTACTGTGGGTAAGCTAAGCAAACAAAATCCCTGCACTCTATATCCTGGTATGCTCATCTTTGATTTATTATTATAACAGTGATTTTTGTTTTCTAGGTTTGACTTGAGAAAAATAGATTTGAGTGTAGGTGAGCAAACAGTTGCTAGAATTGAGAAATAAAACATGAAAAGACCAAATGATAAGCTAGAGTAATACATTTCTTGAACTAATTTTATTCTTAAATAGATTTATACTTGAACTTAAAAAAAAGAAAACAAGGGAATAATTAATTAGCAGTTGTGGACCTTTTTCTGATGTAAGCACAACATTTTATTGAAAGCATTTAGCTTGAGGAAAAAAGTTAGTTTACTTGACTCAGCAAGTGAGCTGAATGATTCCACATTCAGCTCCTTCTTGCCTTCCTCGGCTCATGGGTAAAAATTTAGCTTTAATGGAACTTTTGTGTTAAAATAAGCCTTTCTTACTTTTCAACTCAGACAAGCAAAATATTGTCAGCTCATGGACAAATTGCTTGAGGCATCCATTCAGTATTTACATAAATGCTGTCTCATTATCTTTATGACCCGTGGGGCTAGTAGCTTATATAGAATTGAAGATGACATTCTCTGACAGTAATGGGGTAGAACTATGATCCTTTTGTATAGTTAAATTCTTAACCATGGTCCAGATGCCTCTGAAATAGAAGCAGGTGGTTTTCCTGGTAGGATGGGCTCTAAAATATCTCAGTACTCTTTTTTTTGTTTTTTTAAGTCTTATTCTTTAAAAAAGAATAGCAGAGTTTCTAAATCACATCACCAGTTAGCATCTGTTTTAGAAACTTGTGCACTTTCAGGATAACTTAATGCTAACTTTTTTGTTGTTCTTTCATAAAATGAAAATAATTTTATCTTAATTTGAGGGAGCCAGTACTTATTCAAAAAGAAAACTGAGCCCAATATGTATTAATTTCAGTGGGCACAGTAAGAAAATACATTAAAAATAAAGCCTGGCCATCAAATGTCATTTTGTAACTATTGTAAAATTTAAATTTTTATGTTAGATATATGTAAAAATTTCTCAGAAGATAATAAAGCAAAATCCATGAGTATTTGAAGAGTCTACTACTAAAAGAAGAGATATAGTGTTAAATTAGTTGGTAAAAGTCAGCTCCAAACATTTGTCATCTAGGCTACATTAGTGAGAAGGGAGGCTATTAAAATTGTTCTCAAAGAAGCAAACTGTTGTAACTTTGTCACTTCTCTCATTGTAATAATAATAGTAATATTTGTCTTATTTATTGAATATCAGTATGTAGCAGAAACTCTCCTATGGGCTCTGCCAATATTATCTCATTTAATCCTAACCAACGAAAAGTCTCTGGATGGCACAAATGCTTAAGTGCCTTGACTAGTAGTTGAATGGTTGGTCATTTGAACCCACATAGAGGTGCCTTGGAAGACAGTCCTGACTTCTGAAAGATCACAGTCTTGAAAAGCAGTTCTACTATGCTCACATTGGGTTGCCATGAGTTGGAACTACAGCAACTAACAACAAACAACAATCCTCACAACACCCTTTGACATCCCATTTTCATGGGATATTCATCCCAATGAATTGCTATGAGTCAAGCAAGCTAGCAGTGGCCAGAGTCTGAACACAACATGTATCTGCCTGGCTATAAATCAATCGCTCCTAATAACTATAAAATATTGCTTTATATGATAAAAAATCTTCTTTAATAAGATGTCATTCAGATAGTAAACGAGAATAGGACTCAAACCTTCTCTACACTGATTAGATAACAACAAAATTTCTGTTTCTTCAGTTGAAGATTTTTTACATAAACAGTCTCCAGAAAGATCACTATAGGAGAAATCAACATTCACAAAGACTAAAGAAGAAAACATTGTATCTTTAAGCAGAAATAATCAAGAAATGCCTCTCCATTACACATCATTGCAGTGGCAACATGTACACTCTTTTTGTTGTGAATACCCATGATTAGGATTAAATGAATTGAGTATAGTGGAGTTTCATAATTTTTGTGGCCCTGGTTAAAAAATGCAGTCCAGGGTTCCTGGACATAAAAAAGCTCAATTCACATTTGAATCTAGAACTGTGTGAAAAGATGCTGTGAATGCATGCAAATTTTCAAAAACTCTTTTTTTGTCCTGTGAATCCCGGAAGGACTATTAAGAAAGTCATTGTTAGACCTGATTTCTTTCAGGAGACTCTTTAGAATATCAACTTTAAACTTCAAAGGAAGATGATATTATTAGGAAATCTGTAAAGGGAAAAATAGCCATGGAAGTTAAAAAGTAATCAAAAAGGATGCAATTGGACAAACACAAATGTTTGTCTCAAAATACTAAACAGTGAAGAGCATGTTTATTTTCTATAACTTTTCTCCATTTCTAACAAAAACAGTTCTTATATCCACAGCAAATTATCTAAACTTTTAAAAGGAAAAAGATTTTTAGATCAACTTAATGTAAATATGCTTGTTTCCTCTCCATTAATTATTTCTTCATTAGTTCTGTTTAATCAGATCAGTCTTTCATTTATTTATTTCTATTGCTTTAAAAAAAAAAAAAAAAGATTTAGGTATCAAAGAAATCTTAAGAATTAGTAGGTGATCACCAGTTTTTAGTAGCATTTTTTGGGGTTGCTAAAGAATATAGATCATTTACATTTTTTAAAATAAATACATAAATGTAAGTTACTGTAATTTAAATATACATTTGAAGAGAAAGTCTGCACAAATAAGAAACCAAGAAATTTTGACCTTGAATGTGAGAAAAAGTTGTTTAATTGACAAGAGCAATTTTAAGAATTCCCTTAATAAATGCTGATTATTCCCATAATGCATTTATTTTAAAAGGACACTTAGGGATTTTTTTGGCATTCAAATTCATTTTTAAGAAGAAAAATAGTCTTATTTTTTAAAACATTGCCAAAGAATAACTTGCTTGTCTTATAAATTTTGTTGAAATATGAAACGAATCTTAAAAAGGAACAAAATTTGAAGAGACAATATATCTTTAAAAATATTTTTAGCAGGAATATACCTAAATTGAAGGAGTACTGGTGGTATAGTAGGTTACACATTGGGCTGCTAACCATAGGTCAGAAGTTCAAATCCACCAGCCTTTTTGTGGGAGAAAGATGAGGTTTCCTGTGTCTATAAAGATTCACAGCCTTGGAAACCCTACTGTGAATTAGGACTGACTCAGAGGCACACAACCACCGTAGAACCTAACTTGTACACATGTTTTCCCATCATCTTAAGCAATGAATTCTTGGTGAGTTTCTGTTTGTCTGTCTAGTAGTAATCCTAGATTGTTGTTGGTGATTTTCATTAGTTATTCTCTCTTCTTAAGGTTTCCATTTTGAGCAGCTTCTTTACCTATCTAATGTAATTCCTTTGTTGTTGTTGTTAAGTGCCTGCAAGTTGGTTCCAATTCATAGCTATCATTTATAGGGTTTCAGGAAGCAGCTGGTAAGTTTGAACTGCCAACCTTGCGGTTCACACCAACTTTTTGGTCCAGTGCTCATCCTATGGTGCCACACCAGGACTCTAGGAAGTTATAATAGAGAAAATCACTGTCATTTAAATTTTATATTTTATTGTACAGTCTAAGAGTAGTATTTCATAGTAGAAGGAATGATGAATCTGGAAATAAAAGACTTGGGTACTTTACCCATCCATTCTTTCCCAATTGCTGTATTTGTGAACCTGGGCAAATAATATATCATCTCAGAACCTTAATTTCCTCTATTGGACAAGGTTTTATAATAATAACTAGCATTTATGGGATATCCATGGTTAACATGCTGCCAACTGAAAAGTTGGGAGTTTAGGTCGACCCAAAGGGCCTCAAAAGAAAAGACTGGAAGGCTGCTTCTGAATATTAGCCATTGGAAACCATTTGAAACACAATTTTACTCACCAGGAATTGGACTCAAATCAACAACAACAATACGCTTATAGTGTGTTTAAAGTGTACCAGGTATAATACTAAACATTGTCTTAGCATCTTTCATCTTTGCAATAAAAATGACCCATTACACAATGACTATTGTACGTATTTGAGAAATGAAGAAGCTG